GGTGACAGAGTACAGGAACAGGCTGCCCAGAGAGGCTGTGGATTCTCCTTCCCTGGAGATACTCAAAACCCACCCGGATGCAGTCCTGTACAACCTGCTCTAGGTGAGCCTGCTTTAGCAGGTGGCTGGACTAGATGATCTCCAGAGGTCACTTCCAATCCCTACCATTCTGTGATTCTGTGATTACTGAAGTATTTATGACTATTATCATCCCAAGTGACTCTTCATTTTGTTTTTTTCTGTGGGCTGGTACATTCCTGTAATGCTGTGCTTAAGAGTCTAGTATTCACAGATATGATTAATGACAACTGTATTAAAAGTTGTGGTCTTAAATTTTCATGAGACACATCAGAGTACATTCCATAACATCCAAATATTCACACTAGAAGAACATATCACAAGACCTTAAACTGTACAAATATAAAATCAGAACTAGGCCTAGCAAATGAGTTCAGTGCTTTAGAACACTGAAATGAGCAAATACAATTAGAAGTAAAATACAGAACACTAGTTCTTTCCTTTTGCAAAATTAACTTCAACAACACAGTAGCCATTTCTAAAATCTTGTAGCATTTACTTACAAAGGAATAAATATAAATGGAGATAAAGAGGTGAAATAAATGTTGTGGGCAACTTACTTTTTTCTTATCAGCACTTCTACACAACTTTAAATGGTACAGATAAAACCAGAATTTACTAAAAATACATGTAACAAAATCAGTATTCCTCATGGTATTTAATAATCTTTATATAAGTAATTAATGATATCCCTTTTCCAACATTTTTCATATTCCATTCACCTCACTCAAAAAAGGTAAGACCAGCATTGCCTTAAGTATCTCTTAATAATAGTCGCATCATCAATTTTAAGTATGTCAGTAAGAATATCTCCTTATTCAAAGTTCCCTAACCATAGTGAGAGAGATGAGAACTTTATAAATGCACAAACCTCCATATTTTCCTGTGTAAATGTGTACTAGTATATGTGTATCTGTGAATGTGAACATTCTCATTGCATACTGGTATTCTGCAGCGCTTTTGGACAGTCTGCAAGTAATAAATTAAATTCCCACTGTGCTCTACAAGAGAGAATATCTGCTTATATTCAGACCTAGTTCTTCTTACTTGAAGTCAACCGAAGAAGATTTTCTATTTATTTTAAGGAATACTGGTCTCCTAATCACATCTCATGGAAAAAGTAATGAAAAATGCAGAATGTAATGTAAATAAATATAGCCTGAGTGATAGGTGCACAGAAAAAGCATTGGTAGATGGCTGCCCAGCATTTTGTTGACAGGGAAGGATTCAATTTAGACGCAACACAAACAATCCATTAGTCCAGTGCAATGATCCACTTCACAGACAGTAGTAATGCATCTGTTTTCTAAAGGTAGCGACAGACATGTCAAGTGTTTGTGTCAGTCCTGACCTCCCTGCCTTGACTCCACTTGTCTCGGGCAGGGTATCTGTATTGCGTAGCAGGTAACACACACAGGACGTTATCTCTGACAGCAGCCTCAGAGTGAACGCTTCAGGAAACCAGCCAAAGAGAGGAACACTTCGTCTGTAGATGATGCTTTTACTTAGGCACAAACTGCAACAGAATCACCACGTTTAATAGCCCTGAGGATCCTTCTCGCCATGATTTTGCCTTTGTATGACCTTAGGCATTCAAATCACATAGCCTGCAACTTTTACATATTGGGAGTTCTGTGTGATCTATTACATCTTGCGCGAATTCATGCTAAGATTAGACAAAGCTGTATGAACCGACTCAGTCATTATTTTAAATGAAGTGAACACATTTCAGTCCTTTACATTCACCAGGCATCTTGCCATATATTAATGATGTTGACAGAGAGTTTAATACCCTATGAAGACAGCAATGACACATCTCTAGCATGTTCAGTCTAGATAGATGTCAAAATATGTCAAGGAAAGTTTGCAATGAGGCTTGGGTTGGGTTAACACACCTTGATGTGTGTTTCTAGCATGGTTAAATCAAGCTATTCATTTTGCCATTGTGTTGCATGAGCTCAACTGAAATACAAAAGGGAAAAAAAAAAGACACTTATATGAATGACTGAGATGAACCTAAAACTTGATCTTGAAGGTTAGCAGTAACTAGTTCACTTATAGAAAAGAGACTGGAAGAATATAATAAAGGTTTAAATCTACAATTTGATGTGATAACAACATACAGACAGTTTGTTCAGACACTGTTATACTTGTCAAATTGGTCCCCTGTAAATACAGGCAGGAGCACTAAAGAAGACTGAGAGAAGGTCTAACATAAAATAAAACATTCAGTTTAAGGGTGCTGTATCAGGAACTTATAGTTCATTTCAAAATGTTACGCAAATTGTTTCTTTTTATAGAACCTGCTAATATATCATTTGACATGGAATAAAAATTGAACGTTTTAACTGAGTAAAATCAATGCTAACTGTGGAAACAGACAAGTTCTTTCAGCAGAGAAATAATAGATGACATGGTTACAGTATTTTTAAATAAGCTTTCTCATTTCGGTGCATTTTCAGCATAAAAATTTGGTACCTATTAATAAACTGCCTGTTCAGTATTTGCTCACCAGTCTCTGTCATTCAAACCTTCTCTAGAATATTCAAAATTGCTCAAAAGAGATGCTTATCTGGAGAGATATATATGTCTGTGTGTATGCATATATATAAAAACATAAAAAAAATATAAAATATGTATAGAAATAAGGCACTTTGAAGTAAAGATACAAGTTCATATCCTAAAAGACAGCAAAAAAAACCCAGGAATAAATACTTAATTGGATCTATAACAGAAACTCATTCAGCAGTGAAGATGCAGGCACCAAACTGACACGTAGGACAGTTTGTACCTACTCCTTTAACACTGTCTTCAGAGAAAGAATTCAGAAGAAAATTTAAGACTTACCATAAGAAAAGTATTTTGCCACCTTCCCTAAAATATGATGTCCTTACTGTAACTTTGAGGGCAACCTCATACATCATCTGCAAAGCATATTGTTGCATGACATTTTAGTGTCCAAAATATTTTGTATCCAAATACTTAGGATTTAATTTTTAGCTCTTTTTGTCAAAATTCTAGGTCAAATAAAAATGCACTATAGTGATCTACATTGAGTAAAGATCTTTTGGCTTGAGGTGCTACCACTGAGTGCTAAGATCCGAATTCAAGACAACATCTTCTTTCTGCATAACCTTAGTGCCTCCTGAGATCTCACAACTGCATGATACTTGCATTTGTTCTCTTATCACCCATTAAGAGATGGATTTAGACATATGCTTTCCTGTTTCCCTTTTCAGATTTTATTCTTATAATTTTTGTCCTTTCTTTAGCCACAATAATTTTATTATTTGCATGGGAACAGCTCATCTTCTGACAAGCCAGCACTATTGTATCCACTTTTTGACTTGTCAACTTTAAGGTTAGAAAAGAATTACTGTCTTGTCCCACTGAAATTATAATCTTCAGGCAAAGACTACTCCCTGGTACTTGAGAAAAAAAGACTGGGCCCTTGGGCCATGTTGCTTGAAATCCAATCAGTTCCTGCATTTCCCCTCTCCCTCCCTACAACATGCTATGCATTTATTCGAATACTGTCTATGTTAGATGTCTATAATATTCTATCTCTTGCACTTCTGTTGATAATTTTTTCAGTACCAGCTTTCCACATCTCTCTTCTGATTTCTCTCCTCACTGGTTTATTATTTGCTCTTTTCCAGGCTTTTGTAAATGTTGCTACTACTTCCTATTTCAGTTTCTACAGCTTCACTCCTGCAAGTAGTCAACCTGCATTTTATTCTCCTCCTTCAAATTACTAACGAATATGTCAAACAAGAACTGCTTTTCTATTATACTAGTTCATCTGCTAATTAAGTATTTCTCACTACTTGAAAGGTTATCTTTTGTTAATTTGAATTTTTAAGTCTTGACCCATTTTCACCCCACATGACAATGTCTGGGTTGAATGACAGTGGTTTTAAATGGCTGGTTTAGCAGTGTGCGTGTGTTCCCACGCTGTCAGATGATACCAATGTTTTACAATGCATCTTCAGAAAAGTTGGGAAAGCAGCATATTCTATCCATTTTCTTTATTATTTATTTCCAACTACAATAATGGCTGGGCTTTTAAATACAGAAAGAGATGTCAAGAACTGCATGTCTTAGCTAGAATGTCAGCACATCTCTGCAAACCAGACAGAAGGGATCTGCTAGAGCTATTCCACACATAGTAAAATCCAGAAAAACCCAACCAGTCAAGTATCTTTATTCATGAGAGGACTTCATCTGTTCATGTTAACAAGAGTTTTACTGACAGTATGAGCTCATGCTTGTAAACAAAATCTTCCTCTGTTAGCCTCAGCA